GAGGGCCAGGAATATAGCTCAGCAGCACAAGCACCTGCCTGGCAAGTGCAAGGTCCTGAGTAAATATTAAATATTAAGCAGTAAATATTAAATTCTTTATTTTAAAAAAAAGCGCTTTGCAGTTATCCCCACTTTGCTGATGCAGTAAGCTTGGCATTTGTTCATCCATGTGATCCCCTAGCAGTGAGACAGCTCACTAATCTTGGTGACATCTCTGTGAATTTTATCTCCATAAATCACTGAGCTTGTGTTTCTGAAACTAGAATGAAGCTGAATCTTACCCATGATTTCACAAATTTTTAGAGCGAGACTGGAAAGAGCCTATGATGTATAAAGTTAACTTATCTCTTTATACATCTCACAATGTATAAAGTTATCTCTATAGCAAGATAAATGAATTTCTAAATCAGAAAGGAACAGTAAGGTAATGAGCTACCTGAGAGAAAAAGACAATCAAAACTGAATCACAATAACTTAGCAGTGGGAATGAGCTCAGTGCAATCACATAATACACACTATTGTGCTCTGGCTTAGTTAGATGCAAAATTCAGGAAGCACATTCCATTAGACTAAATAAAGCTTCGATCATGTGTGAAATTTCCAACTTGAATAGGCAGCCATCCTATCACTCATCGGGTTGGATGCATTTAATGAGTGTAATTTCTTCCTCATATTTCTATGCGATTATTGTTTCATTTTTATTGCAGGAATTTGGGCCCCTTATTAAGGTTATTATTTTCTGTGAAGCCTTGGCTTAAGTAAATACAGTTCTACAAGGTATACATGCAAATATGTTTCCTTTAGATTGTCAAAAGAATGGGGCAATCTGATTGCTTAACTATGAGATTAGAAGAAAGGAAAAGTGAAAAAAAGAGAAAAAACACTACTGAGTGCTAAGCCAGTGTAACTTGAAGTGTATAAAAATCATTTTGGGGAAATTGTAAACTGTGAATTTCTCTGTTTCAGAGAGATTTTGATTCACTGGATACATGACAGGAGTAGGAAAAATGCATTTTAAGGAAGTGTCATAATTTTTCATTTTGATTTAGATAAATATTAAATCTTTCCTTTTTATTTATTCATTTATTTTTTGGTACCTGGAATGGAACTCAGGACCTTGCACTTGCCAGGCAGGCACTTGGGCCACTGTGCTATATCCCTGGTCCTTGTCCTTAAATTAATTAAAAGAAAAAAAAAGATAAATGATCATTTTGCTCTGTGAAAGCCATTTATCTGAAACACTGCATCTCAGAAATTATCCCTGAAATACTTTAATCCCAAGGTTCAATGGCACGTATCAAAACTGCAGAGCTCAACAGTTTTTGAAGATTTTATGACCCCAGCTTCAGTCCCAAGCAAGTGCTCATCAAGCAGGCTCAAAGTGGGCCTGTTATAACTCTACATACTCCAGCAGATTTCCCAAGATAATGATATGCTACAAACAAATAAAAAACCCTAGAAAATATCGCCCAAAATGGTGACCTAGCCCATGGGTAATTGAATGGGAGGTGGCTTACTTAGTTGTTTATAAGAGCAATAGTCTGGTTAAGTGTGTTTCTACTTCAAATTCTTTAGAATTTCTCCAGACTGTAGACCCAGAAGTAGAACCTAAGATAAAAGATTCAAGAATAAATTATTTGGGAGGTGATATTAGGATATAATGGTAGAGAACAGGGAACAGACTGGTAAGAGAAGAGAATCAATACTGGCATTTTATCAAGCAAGTTATTTCAGAAGACAAAGGCTTTGCTCTGAGGGGGAACTATGGAAACCAGCATAAAGCTTCCCTGGGGAACTGGGATATTGGTGCACTGACTACCTCAGTTGGTGTTTGATTATTCCTTCAAGAGAGTAGTAATTCCTGACAGTACAGCCTGCTACTTGTTTAGTCAGTCAGGCTTTGGGTCCAGAGCAAGGCCTAGCAGTTGAGCAGTAGTGGCCAAGGATTTGGAATCACAGGGAGGCACACAAAAAGCATCAGACAAAGGGAATAGGAGAAAGGTCTTTGAAGACAGCTACTTTGCCTGGAGTAAAGGACCAAGAACAGGAGGTCTGGATCTGCAAGAACTTCGCCTCCTTATATTTGAACTCTCTCTTCAATGGTAAAATCAGCAAGGTTAGGGGAAGAGAATGACTGGCTGTCCTAATGACTGACCTATAAGAGACGTTCAGTGATCACAGTGATCAGCTGGAGTTGGTACCAGTCCACTTGAATTTCAACTTGACACTGTTTCCGTAACTATAAAATGTAAAATTTTCGTTATCCCATGTTATGGCTGGTGTCTAGATATCTCCTCAAAATCCCATGTGGTCGTAGGTGGGGCTTTTCACAGGTGGCTGGATCTAGAGTGTGTGATTCTGGGCTATGTGTATGATGCTCTCATTAAGTGAGTGAGACTGGGATTAAGGGTATGTGATTACTAAATTAAGCCACTTACTCATTTGACATAATTCTGATTTGGATAATGGGGAGGTCCAGCCTGGGTGTGAGTTCTACCTTCCCTAAGGGAGCACAGCTTGGATAGAATGTAAGGAACAGAAAGAGGGCTGCTGCCTTTTCTTGATGCATCTTCACTACTTTGTTGCTTCGGTGCCTTCTGCCTGTCATGAACTGTTTCCTCTCTGTGATGCCCTTCTGTCAGGCCATCTTGCCTGGAAGCCAGCCAACTGTGAACAGAAACCTCTACAAACTGAGCTACAATGAACTTTTCCTGCTGTAACTTTGGGTGTCAGGTATTTTGTCTCAGCAATGAGAAAAGTAACTGAGACAGCCCCCAGAGCTGAAAATGCTTTCAGTTTCATAAAATAATCTCAAGCAGCCAAGTGTCACCAGAAATCGATTTAAAACGAGTAGAAATTCTAACACTGTATGAGGCATGACAATATTCTTTCACCTAGGATCAGACATTTATTTTCCAAAAGTAAATGATGTGATGTGCTTCTTATTATGTTGTTCATTTCTTCAAAATGTACTTAAGAAATTATGAATTTCTCACTCTAAAACTAAAAATATTTTTACTAATTGAAAATCTGACTTTATAATGTAGTGATTTAATAAGTAAGGAACATCAGAGGGAAGAAATGTCGATATGTTAACCCATTAGGAGAAATCTCACATAGTTTTATGTAGCAACTGGGGAAACAACCAAACTCATTTGTCAAACGTAGAAGGAATCTGGTGTAATTTTAAATAAATATGCTGTTTCTTCTCTCATAATGTTGAAGAAGGGCCTGCAGCTGCACAAACTATAGCTTTGGATAGAATTAAAGTCATATCCTTGTTCATGGAGGTCAAACAGTTACTTGTTCTTATGGATTTGATGCCCTAAAGTTATATGAATGGAATCATAGGCGGGTTTTGTTTTTTACTGGAAATTTGCAAGCTCATCAAATAAAGACCCAGTAGAAAGCGGCATGCCAGATTTAGACTTATTTCACTTCTTACTAGTTCTAAAGTTCCAAAGACTTCCTCTTGTATGCTCTGTGCACCTGAAGAAGCTACCTTTAACTTTGATACATACTGTATACATACCCAATGTACTGTTGTAAGGTGGTTTCATTTTGTCTTTCAATTAAATCTATTTCCACTTCTACTTTTTGCCCTCCAGCAATATGTACAGATTGTAGAAGGGATTCCTGGTTATAATCATGTCTAGGAATGTTTTCCAAAGTAACTTGGTTTAAGGCTACCAGCTTGGTAAAGGACAATTAATATCAAAAGTTATTCTAAATTGCATGTCAATTTCTAGAAATGTGCTTATGTTGTGGTCTCTATTTTATCTAAGGGACTCTTTGCTGACAACAGAAACTACTGTTAAAAACACAGTTTCTAAGAAAAAAAGAATTTGACTATAAATATTATCATTTGAATGTGGGGGTGTAATTTTGTAACTCAGACTTATTCTGCTAAGTTGGATACTTTCTATATTGTTTAATTTTTAAGACTTAAATAAAAACTGAAAAGACAAAAATAGTAGCTGTGAAACCCTCAAAATCACAACTGACTATTGAGAACTTTATTTCTCTTAATGATAAGCCACATTAGATGTATCCAGGCTAAAAGAAAGAGATGACAAGGTAAGTGGGGACAGAATGAGTTGAGAGAGATGCTTATTAAAAGACATGGTAGAAGAAAATTGTATGTATATCATCCTCACTTAAATTGCAGTCTCTGTGTCCATTTGGTTACAGAAGTGGAAGGTAACAAAGTACATACAGGGGAAGAATAAGAAAGAGAAAAGAGGAATAGAAGGTAAAACAAGAAGATAGATATTTGAGGAGATAGAAATGCTAATCACTTCAACTTGCTCATTATGTATTATTATATAGATATGTGTATCAAATTATCATACTCTATCCATATTTCAAGTAAAGGTAAAAGATTAAAAATAAGAAAAGAAAGAAGAAGGTAACAGACTGAAAGGAAAGAAAGAGAGAGAGAGAGAAAGAAAAGAAAGAAAGAAGGAAAGAAAGAAAGTAAGAAAGAAAAGAGAAAGAAAGAAAGAAAGAAAGAAAGAAAGAAAGAAAGAAAGAAAGAAAGAAAGAAAGAAAGAAAGAAAAAGAAAGAAAAGAGACAAAGGAGGTACCTTGAGAGCTCATAGTAGTAGCTATGATTCAAGAACAAGTGTTTTGCTAGTGTGTCAGTTCTTTGTTTCTAAAGGAGAATCTGACTTTAGCCACTAGCCAGTGAAACATTTCAGAATAACTGTTTTTATCTCCAGACAAAAATAATTCCATGTAAAATAATTTGTGAGAACAAATTGTCTTCCAGTTTTTTGCATTTTTTCTATACAAGATCAACTTACCAGGCCATGCCAGTCTCTGAAAGGACTCAAGGAAACTCTTCAACTAACTGGAAAAAACACTCTCCACGTGGACCAGGGTAATGACAGCTCTCTGTTCTGGGAGCTTACGTGGACCAGGAGGCAGCTGTCCCCTAACTGAGCTCAGAACTGCTGGCACCAACTGTAGGAGGCAACTGGTCTTCAAGAGGTGTTTCCCAGGAGCTTCCTGATGGCTTGAAGTGTCAGAGATCTGCTTTTGAATTAGCTCACCACATTATGTTAGATACCTGGTCATCCATGACTCTGTCTTTAAAGTTTGGAGGTAATAATCACCATAGTATCCCTAGACTTCCACTTCCTACAGAGTAGTCCTTTTGGCAATAAACCACAAATATCCTAATCTAAAATTTAAATTATTTTATTTAAGTTTCAAACATTCTATGAAACTTGGTATCCACTCATAACCATTTTTTCAGTTTTAAGACCAGGAGTCCAAGAGAAGCCATATTAAGCTGGGAGAAAAATTATACAATGAGCACATGCTAGTAACCAATACCCAAACCAAGACATGGAGTGTCATCATCACTCTAAAAGGCACTTGTGTATGTGCCTTCTGGTCCCTATGATATCCACTTGACAAGGACAGAAATTTCTGTGACTTCTTACACCATGGATTTGTTTTTCCTGCTTTCAGAGTTATTCAGATAGGGCTGTGTATTCAGTATTCTTCTGATTCGATACTTCTCTTCATCATGATGCTTGTGTAATTCACCTGTGTTGTTCTGTATTGTTGTAGTGCATACAGTCCCATCACCACAGAGTTTTCACCTGTGTGAACATGCAGCAATCAATTTTTCAATAAAACTATTGAAGGACGTAGAGTAGTCTCAGATTTTTGGCTATTGAGACTAAAGCTTCTATGAATATTGTTCTATGTTGTAAATAAATATGCATCTCTAAGGAGATATTTAATCCTAGTAGAGAATTTCTAGTTCCTAGGGAATGCATATGTTTATCTTATTCCCCAATTTTCAAAATATTTTTGTCAATTTGCATTTTACTAGCAACATGCAAGAGTTTTGGTGACTCAGTATTTTCATGAACACTTGACTTCTTTTTCATTCTTCCTTATCTGCTGGGGAAGTCATCATACTAGATATTTGACAAAGATAAAATATATGCAAGTTACATGATTGTAGGCAAAACATTTGATCCAAATATGACACAATAAAAGCATTGAAGCAGCATGCATAATTCACTTATTTACTTTTGAAATAACTACAGACATTTGAGGGACGTTTTACAACAGATGATCAACTAAGAAATGGAAATTTCAAGGGAAAACATAATTTATGCAGTTGTATTTTTTTACCTGAATGTTCTGATTATTTGTCCTCCAGAGATAAACCTGAGTGTCTTCCAAAGTCCTACACCCAAGGTGAAAGCAGTATTTTATTATTCAGTAATAATCACAATGATAACAGTAGTTATGACAATGGTTTGAATGATCAGGCTTATTGAATTCTATAGCATGCTTTCATTTATGGGTTTATTGGTCCAATTCTTACACTTGAGAGGTGAACACATTTTCTTCTCTTCAGTACATAAGGAATGGGATGGAAGTTCTGGGGAAAGAAACAACTTGCCCAGATGTTTAGAACTAATAATAGATGCAAAGGGCCAGGTCTGAACTAAGGACCTTGATTCTCTCAGCATCATGATATCTTTCTTTATCTTTGATACAATTCTCAGGTAAAGATACTTCCTATTCTTAGAGATTCTTAGGTGAACAAAGTTTTCATTTTGTTTAGTCATTGCATTAGAAAAGTATTGTGCTGCCTCCACTTCACAGATAAAGAAAGACAAGCCCTAAGGAAATCCAAGAAGTTTCTACTTTTCTATGACCAGCTTGCCAATGGGAGAACACATGAGAAACCTTAACATATTGATTAATTTCCTAAATTCTGTCTCCTAAAATAGAAGTGTTCAGGAAATAGGGAACAGATGCAGCCATACATATCAGGATGCTTTTGGTGGAATAATAATCATTGTTATAATCGTATAATTTCACATTTCCTAGTGTTTGACCTCATAATTTTTTTCAACGAATCAAAGAGAAAAAAGCTCTTATAATTCTTGCACTATATATCTTAGAGGTTTGTATATGGGCCAGTTCTATACTCAACATTCTAGGTTTCCTGGATTTAAATTAAACAAATAAATCTTTATCATTGTTCTAGTTCTTTCTTCAGCTCACATACCTTATGTACATTACGTGCATAATTATATAAAGTAATGTCGACGTAAGTCCAGGCTTCCAGAACCTGAGAGTAAAGCTATTCACCATCATTTGTAATGCAAGAATAGTAACAACAATAACAACAAATGTACCAACCTGAGGTAGTTTTAAATGGGACGTTGACTTTTCATAGTTCCTGCTGGATTTTGTCATTTTATGGTAATGCTGGTACCAAGAAAAGAGTTTATGAGCTATGTTATGTGAGTCTTTCTCTGAAAAAGAAAAGAAGAATAATACTTCCCAGTGTTTCCTGATTTTAAGGGCAAATGACAATGAAAGAAGCTGTATTATTTCATGTATTAGTCCTTCCACTGGTAATGGAAATCCCAAGGGGGAAAATCAACCTAACAAGTTAAATTAGTATAGGCAATATTTCACAGAGCCACGTCTGAAGTTAGGAACCTGCCCAATAAATATGACCAGTTAGAGGTGTTTAGATAAATGTACACTGCTCATGTACTTTGGGCCTTTACTTCACACTGGCAAATTCCTGAAACCCACCAGACAAGATCACTATGTCCACTGGATGATTAAAGGTAAAGAATGTATATGTTTTTCAAAATTATACATTTTAATTAATTGATGGTTTAAGTGTGATACTCGTAAATGTACCAAAATATTTTAATAAAGTTCTTATTGGCTGTTTCATCTCAACCCCAGGCTAGTTGAAATCAAATTAAAAGAAATCAATTTGAAAAACTTAACCATATAGAAGTTGCATTTCATTTTTAAAAGATTTATTTGTAGACTAGGATGAATTTCCTGTAAATTGAACCATTGTTTCACATTTCAGATGGGATTTGATTTGTCCAAATCTAATTTATATGCATTTTTTATTAAAAAACTAATTCATTTTTTCAGGGTCTTAGAAGAAATAAATTAACTTATATTTAACTGAAGTCATAAAAAATAAAGCTCCAAGGAATTGCAAATGCAATAGAACTTGTTCCTAATCCCCCAAATATGTCCAGAGAAGGAGACCAAAGTGGATTTCAATTTTAGTCAATTGTCTTTATAAGCAACATAACTCAATATGGATTGAGAGAATTGTTCTTGTTGTTTGGGTCTTGAATAATACATCCCTTATTATCTATCAATGTGCTGCATATCTGTTGAAGGCCAGACAGGATAAACAAAACTTGAATAAAGTGACAGCCTGGGCAAAGTTCCCACAAGAAGAAACTTGAGGTCTGCAGCATCTCATGACAGGGAGAGAAAGGATGACTAGTGAGGAGAAGCCTTTCCATTTGGGGCACTCTGGAGAAGTAGAATCTTTGCTTTGCTTAGACTCACTGGAGACTACCCTAGCCCCAGTGAACATAAGAACAAACTGCTCATGCTTTAGAAATGTTCCTTGGAGGGAAGTAATTTGGACTGAAAAGAAGTCACACATGATATCTGGTCACTTGATCCTGTGTGCATCAAAGCTTATCAGTTAAATAAAGTACATAAAATGTATAGACTATGTTTTTTCCACTGTGTTTTTATTTCCTTGTGGGAGGAGGCAAGGGAGAATAAACAATAAGAAAGCAGAAATTCTGTTGCACAAAAAGATAATCCAAGCAATGCAAGTGAAAAAAAACCAGGTTACCATCTGTCTTAATTACTTTTCTCATTGCTGAGACAAAGTACCCAACACCCAAAGTTAAAGGAGGAAAAGTTTATTTAGCTTGCAGTCTGTGGAGGTTTCATTCTATTATCAGCTAGCTCCAAGGCAGGGTGGCATTGCAGAGGAGAAACAGTTCATGGCAGGCAGAAGGTAGCAAAACAACAAGGAAGGGACAAGACAAGCCACTTTCTGCCCTTATATTGTATCCTACTGAGATGAGGGCAGTACCAAACCAATCAGCGGCCTGATTTCATAATCACACACTTCTGATTCCAGCATCACACAGTCTAGATTCAGTCATCTTTGAAAAAGCCCCTCCTATAACTACGTGAGGCTTTGGGAGAATATCTAGACTCAAACCATAACAACAGCTAAAGCAAATGTTAAGCATATCCAAAGTAGTAACAAGACATATTCTAGCAGTAGAAAATATAGAGTGTTTGGGACTTGGATTTACTTCTGTGAAATGATACTCTTGTAAGAAAAAGCCAGAAGACAGTCATGAGAGAATTACTATGGACAAAAGGAAATGGATAATAACAGGCTAGAAAACTCAGGACAGAGAAGTTTAATGGTTAATTTCAGGAACTAGCAGGCTTATAAAAGAGAATTTATGAGATATTGCAAAGAGAAGGAAATTGTGTAGCATCCAATCATTGGGGGGGAAAAGGCATAAATCTCCTTCTCTTCACTTCTTTGTTTAAATATTACTTTTTCAAAATTGTGTAGAATGACCTCCCAAAAAAGATTACAACTCAACCACCTATGTTCCTTATCCCCTTGTCCTGCTATTATTTCACCCATACACACCTTCTAATTAGTTATGCTACCTAGCTCCATTTTTACTTAATCTTAGGAAAACTTAGTTTTAATCTATAGAATTTTTATTTCCTTTATTGAATGACACTATTCCCCTGACTGCAGCATAAGTCTACTGATGGCAGACAAATACTTATTCAACAGTGTACCCCAAACATCTAGAGCTGTCCTTGGGAAGCAGCAGGCTCTTGAGACACATTTTCTGAATGCACAAAAAAGTATGAAATACAACGTTTAAAACATGAAGTTCACATGCTGAAACTGAATTGCAATTTCCCACCATAAAGGTAGGTGTATCAGTGTTGATGCATAAAGGAAAAGGGCCAAATAATACCTCTTAAAATCAACCTATTTTGTAGGAAATTGGCAAACATTAAAGGAAGAACAACTGGAAAAATCCACTAAGCCTTATTGTATGAGAACTGTGAGTGTCTGCCATGACAACCACAGGTCAGATGTAGGAATTTGCCCTTGTGGTAGGTTAACTAAATGAAATAGAATTCCTATATTCCTCAGATACAGTGAATTTGAGCAAACAGCCTGTGACATAGTCCCATCAAATTGATGAGACAGCTTAATAGCATCGAATACCACAACAAATGTTACCAGTCAATAGAGCACAAATGCAATGACATTTGATCTTGGAAAAATTTAACTTTAATCTACTGAGCTCTTGCCTTAGGTGCCTTGAATTTTGCAAGACTACTAGTGTAAATATGTGTTTCACATTTTCAATTATACCACTTCTCAGCCATCAACAACCAACAGATTAATATATCAAACAAAGATGTCACTGCATGTTCTCTCTGAGCTAGCATGGATGATTTAGATGAATTCTTTGTCTCTAGGAGCTCAGGGTAGATGGTGTCAGTGCCCCATCCACATCTGCTCAACACTCACAGTCCCTGTGTAATCTAAAATTATCTTAGTAAAAGTGTCTACATCTTTCCTCAAACACATTCTCTACTGGGGAAAACATGCTTGGTCCTACATACTGGAAGTGTCAGGGCACCTGGGCCCCCAGATGACACCTCATTAATAATGGACAAGAACTAGAGGGTATAAATGATCTTTTTGTCACCCTTCAGGTGGCACAATTCTGAGGTATGAATTTCATGGTCTCCTAGAGATCCTCGGAAATTATGCTCTAGTCATTGACAGAATAATGTACCTCAAATTGCCTGCCTCCCTTCTTTTCTCTGTCTCACTACCCTATTACTCTGTCAGTCCTTCCTGGAATCACTTTTTATACTCAAATCATCAATATGGGGTCTTCTAGATTTTTAACTGGTTTATGAAGATAAGACAACCTATCTAATTACATGTAAAGCTGTGTGGCAAGAACCGTATGCTCTAAAAGAATTTGACAAAGTTGATTGTGTCAATATGATTGGATTGGAGCTGCCCTTGGGATTGGTTGAGCACACTTCTGGGTGTGTCTATTTGGGTCATGGAGGCCTGCCTCTGGGTACTGTATCTGGCCCCTCACCTCTTCTTCTCTGACACTAATCACTTGCTTTTCTTCCCAGCTGCCATGAATTAGACAGCCTTCATCCTCTCCTCCCTTCTACCACAGGGCTGCCTTGAAATTGACCATGGACTGAACCCTCTGAAAATATGACCCAAATCAAACATTTCCACTTGGGCTATTGTGTCCAGCAACGGGAAAGTTGACTAATAAAAGACAAAAGAGAATAAAAGGCTACATGTGACAGACATGCATGTACTTTGGAAAGGATGAGGTAGTTCTGCCAAATTCTGAATGATGTGATGGGTTTTTAGCCGCGTATAAGAGCTGGATTTTCAGCTGGAAAAAGGCATAGTGCATTCACAGAATTAAGGAGAGAGAAAGTTGTTTGCAGGAAAAATGTGATAAAAATTAGCCAGACACTTACTGGCAAGTAGATGGTGTCATCATAAAGTACCTTCTGTTATTTCCTGTGGAGCCAACCATATGTTTAGAGTTTAAAAAGAAATAATCTCTGTATTCCCAACACTGTGATAAAAACCTCTAAGAATCACAAATTTATAAATTTGCATATTATAGGTGCTATGATGATTCCTACCAGGGTTTTTTTAATTGGCCAATGCCCATACACACACACACACACACACACACACACACACACACACACACACACAGGATCCTATTGGTTACAAATGCCTCTCTGTTCTATATCTCTGATGAACTATCATCTGCTAAATGGAAGCTTCCTCCCTGGGACATTGCTCACTGCCAGCCTACTAGCTACTGATGCCTCACTTACATAAATGAAAAAAGGTTTAAAACGTTGTACTGCCAACCTCTTGGCTGGTATAATTTATATTTCAGGCAAAGGAATAATTTGAGGAGCTTCTTCCACTGCCTTGCCTCACTTCTCTCAATCCACTTTCTAATGAAAACACATCCCCAGTAAGCCACATGCACCTAGCCTCAGGTTCTGCTTCCAGAAAAGCTGATAAAGAAACTGTTCCTTGTATTCTCATGGGACCAGGTTTCTTCAAAAGCCCCCAGAAAAGACATTGCTGCTCACTTGGTTCTTCTCAAACCTCCAGTGTCTCTCCAGAGAGAAAAAAATAAAGGTTCTCCACTTTCCTCAAGAGACCCATCTATTTCCCTACAGACTTTGTGAGGATTTTACACTAATCCAAGCAGAATGCACTACCTGACGTGTTCCTACCCAGTTAAGGGACAGCAGGTCATTAACTAATAAGGTGGACGTGACCTCTGGCAGAAACAAATCTCCAATAATAGCAGTGCAAAGTCATCTGAACTGCCTTTTG